AAACAAAAGTGATTGAAATATATTTCAATCACTTCAATGTACTCAGAATATACTTTTTAAATAGATAGTGATGGACCAAATCACGCGTCATACAGGTGCTTTTTATTCTTGCTCTGCGCATTTGCAATAAAACACTTTTTTTTTAAGTTTATTTGAGAAGAGGTGTGAGTGAGCAGGTGGAATGGGGGGCGGGCGAGGGGGGAGAGGGGGAGAGAGGAGGAGGTGAGAGAGGAGAATCCCTCCCACACTGTCAGTGAGCCACATGCGTGGGGTTGGATCTCGACTTGATTCAGATCATGAGACTGAACCTAACAGATCAAGGGAGCCTGTGTGGGCATGAAATGCCTGTGGCGTCCAACTTCAGCCGGTCAAGCGATTCAGGAGTCCGTGAGTTGAGCCCCAGCGTAGGGTTCTCATAAGGCTGATGGCTTCGGGCAACGGAGCCTGTTTCGATTCGCTCCTCTCTCTGCCTCCTCCCTATTCATACTATGTTTCAGTTTCTGTCCCAAAAAATAAAAAAAAATAAAAAAAAAAAAATCAGATAACTAACTACTGACTCCAGGGACACTTAGCCATTTTAAAATGTCTCACTATTTAGGAGGCTGCACTGTAGGTCAGCCATTTGGCGCTGTCTGACTTCGGCTCACATCGCGAACTCACGGTTCATGGGTTCAAGCCCTGGTGCGGCTCTCGTAGCGACAGCCCGAGCCTGGAGCCTAACTTCAGTTCTGTGTCTCGCCTTCTCTCTCTCTGCCCCTCCCCTGCTCATGCTCTGCCTCTCTCTTTCTCTCAAAAATAAACGTAAAGTTAAAAAAAAAATTTTAAATGTCAGTATTTAGATTCTCCCTGAAATTTTATGCTTTGAAGCTGTTTATACTGAAAATTCTAGGTGGCAACTCGATGTGCACAGGGCTATGTACACCTTAAAAATTGCTTCGTGAGGTGTGCAAGCAGGGACCGGAAACAGCCTCGGTGTATGGCTGGGAGGGGAGCTGTTGAGTCGTGGGACACGGCATCTTCTCCCATGCTAAGTGATGTCAGCCTGTTTCCCACGGTGGTACCACCCGCCCCCACGCCCGGCGTGGCACTTGCCCCCCAGGGGGAACCCAGCAACCGGGCTTCATGCGACAGGGGGTTCCAGTGACAGGAGTTTCCGGTTTCTTACAGAGCGGTCCGTGTCCTCAGTACATTTCTCCTGCGGAACTTTCGCTTGAGGCACATGCCACATTATTCTAGGTTTACAAACGAATAGGTGCATGACGTCCTATCAGCGAACGTATGATGGTTTACTTGCTGTCCTTGTATTCTCAACCCAGTTTTTAGTTACGCTGAAAAAATACCATTTTACTGAGGTAGGATTAAGATATAAAAACTGTGAATGTTGACTGTGACCTACCCGATGGGCCTGTAGCTAAGTGTACCCCCGTGAAACCACTGCCACTGTCAATCTGCTTCCGTATTTTTTAGGAAAGTGGCCTCTGAGTCCTGTCGCGATACTCTCATATGTGCGAATGCACGCAGAGAGACAGAATGCCTCCCTGACAAGTACAAATATTATTTTGAAAGTCATGTTCTTTCTTTACATATATATATTTTTAATTTTTTTAATGTTTATTTATTTTTGAGAGGGAGAGAGGAGCAGAGAGAGAGAGACATGGAGACAGAACTGGAAGCAGACTCCAGGCTGGGAGCTGTCAGCACAGAGCCTGACACGGGGCTTGAACTCCCGAACCGTGAGATCATGACCTGAGCTGCAGTCGGATGCTTAACCAACTGAGCCACCCAGGCGTCCCCATTTTCTTTCTTTCTTTATTTTTTTATTTATTTTGAGAGAGAGAGAGAGAACACACACACAAGTGCAAGCAGGGGAGGGGCAAAGAGAGGGAGACAGAGAGTCCCAAGCTCCCACGCAGGCTCCTCGCCTTCAACGCAGAGCCCGACGCGGGGCTCCATCTCACAAACCGTGAGATGGCGACCTGAGCCGAAACCAGTCGTCAGATGCTTAACCGACTGAGCCACCTGGGCGCCCCTGAACACCATTTCCAAACTGAACACGTTCTTCCAATTTTATCCTTAAAAAAATTGCTTTTCCTTACAAAGTAGAAACTACCACTGGTAGTTTGTAGCCAGGAGAATACGGGCAGCTTTAAGGAGGGATATGAAAACACTTTTCCTCTTTCCCAGCAGTGAAGTATAACCCTTTCTCCCAGGCTTCCTGCGGGATTAAGTGAGTCAGAGCTGCAGCCTGTGGGCTTTCATAACTGGGTCCTTGGCATCGTGACCCTTGCTGATACAGCAGGTGCTTGCTTGGGGAACTGGTTTTATATGTCACGCTCTTTAATAATACCCGAGCGGGTTGAAGTCCCAATTCCTGACCCTTGCCTCAAATCTACTAATTACTAATCGATGTGGTTTCTCTCTCCGGTTTTTCTAGAGAGCACGTCCCATAGTTCATGGGACAAGCAAGCAGTTTGTAATTTGTAATCAGCCCCTTAAGCATGCTTTCTCCTGTTAGGAAAGATTCTCCTAGAGAGAACATTAGTTCATTGCAGTCTGATGATGGCGTTCTGTGTATGACTGATGTTTGTTCTTTTTTTTTTTTTTTTTTTAAGCTTCCTTTGGATTTAGAAACTTAAATGAAAGACTCAGTCTGTTCTTATAGAAATTATGACATAAGAATTCTTGTTCTGGGCCGTTCTTTTTTGTTTTTTTAAGTTTATTTAATTTTGAGAGAGAGAACACACACACACACACACACACACACACAACTTGGGAAGGAGCAGAAAGAGAGAGAGAGAATTCCCAGCATGCTCAGTGCAAAGCCTGACACAGGGCTTAGTCTCACGAACCGTGAGAACATGATCTGAACCCAAATCAAGAGTCGAACGCTCGACCGACGGAGCCGCCCAGGCGCCCCTGTTCTTTCTGGGCCATTCCTAAGAGAAATGCTGTGGTCTGTTTTTAGGAATGTTGTTACCAGCACGGCACGTGGGTAGTAAACGAGGCCACCAATTCAGTTCCATCGCTTTAGCTGGGGCACACTTAACGAAAAGACCTTTGAAAAGACCTTAGCCAAAAGAGAGCCTCATAAGCTGTGTCAGCCTCTAGAATGTTGGGGCTGTGTCTTTCGACGTGGGAAATCAGGTCCATGTTGGCACATAAACCCAGGAGTCCCCAGGGCAGGAAAAGGCCGATGTTCCCTCTGCGGAAACACAGGAAATCTCCCTCGGAATTCATTCCTGCGATTCTTTCAGCAGAGGCCGTTGGACCCCCTTCCGCACAGACGCACTTAAAATTGTTCAGGGGTTTTCGGGCCCCAGAGTTTCTGGAACAGCACAGGCTCTCATAGCACAGGCATTGGGTTTCTCGTTCCTTCTGGAGAGAGCATACCTGTTCCAAGGTAAAGGGGAGGGAGGCCGTGAGCCGCCATCAGCTCTGGGGTGCCTTCACCCCCCGCCCCCCAACATGTTGGGGAAGCCTCTCCCGAGGAGCCCGGGGCTCTGGGGGCCAAAGGAAGCTTGCTCTTCTCTGCTGCTTAGCGAGCTGAGGAGGTGAGGTGAGAAAGGCCAGTTCTGGTGCTGGGGAGGCAGCCACAAGAAGGCAGCTCCCTAAATAGCTGGCTAACAAGTTGGTTTGGTTTAGTTGATTGACGTTTCTGTTTGGGCAATAGCTTCTTTTAGAACACTTTTAATTTTTCTAGAACAGCTGTAGTTCCCTCGAATTGAGAGGAAAGCACAGAGATTTCCCTGCCCCCCCGCCCCCCTCCATGCATGATCTCCCCTCTTGTCTACGTCCCCCCAAAGTGGGACGCTCCTTACAGTCAGGAAGCCTGCCGGACACATCCTCCTCCCCCAAAGTCTGTCGTCGATGACCTTGCGGGACCATCTTTCTTTTTTTCTTTTTTTCTTTTTTAATTTTTTGTAACGTTTATTTATTTACTTTTAAATTTTTTTTTTCAACGTTTATTTATTTTTGGGACAGAGAGAGACAGAGCATGAACGGGGGAGGGGCAGAGAGAGAGGGAGACAGAATCGAATGCAGGCTCCAGGCCTGAGCTGTCAGCACAGAGCCCGACGCGGGGCTCAAACTCACGGACCACAAGATCATGACCTGAGCTGAAGTCGGACGTTTAACCGACTGAGCCACCCAGGCGCCCCCAGGTCGTGTTTTAAATGAGCCTGGGGAAGGGTCACACCGAGCGGCAGACCCTGCAGGAGATATTGTAAGATCAGCTCATGCTTTCGAACCCAAGTCCTCGTGTTTGTACCAGTGCACGTCCAGCTGCTTAAGTGAAGCCCAGGTTCGGTCCTCGTCAGCTGCGTCCCTCTGGGGGGTCACCGATACAGATGTCCCGAAGGAGAACAAGACAGCTATCAAAGCCTGAGTTCCTGTCACCCCAAAACCTCCTTGCATCCCTGTGGGAGCCCCTCTGTCTTGGCTTGGGCTCTTGCCACTGGGAAAGGATAGTGTGCAGTGTGCTGGAACAGGTTGACTTTGTAATTGGCCTCTGTGTTCTTCGTAAAATTTAAGCACATATGACAGGCCAGGCGTCTGGTGTTGAGTTTTATGATCATACTCTTAACAGTGTTTTGTTTTGCTTTGCTTTGCTGCCTTCTCCTCCCCCCAGTTTTTTTTTTTTTTAATTTTTTTAGAGAGAGAGAGGCAGAGAGAGAGGGAGACAGGATCTGAAGCGAGCTCCGCGCCGACAGCAATGAGCCCGACGCAGGGCTCGAACTCAACGAACCCAAGTCAGACACTCAACCGACTGAGCCACCCGGGCGCCCCACCTCCCCCCAATTTAATAGTAAATTTGAGGAGACAGGCCTCCAGCACATAGAATTTTCTGCTTTGGAACTTCTTCCTCCCCCACCCGCCCCCAAAATTTTGTTGAGACACTGCCTTCCACCCTCAGTTCTTGACAATATCGCTGTAACTTGAACATGAGGAGCTCTCTGTGGGAAGGAACCCATCGTGCGTTAAGTGAGATAGCGAAGGCCAGCATGGATCAGTCAGTTCTGGGGGGAAAGCCACTGGACACGCAAGGCAGAGACTTGGGCACCCCCTTCTTTATTCGGGCAGAAAGTGGGTACGTGACTATACTAGCACGTCCGGTTAAGTACCGGCTTGCGTGAGGGCAGGGTGCTTACTTACTCCCAGTAATGGGGGAAAATGCCACCCTGTCCCAGAGCCGGCTGCTCCCTTTGACAGCATCTAATTCAGTGTTTCACATATGTCACCAAGTATTGCATTAAAAGAACAGAAAAGTGACATTACTAGCTTTTGTGTTCTTTCTGGTTTATATTGTAAGAGTAATTCAAATACTTGTCTGGCGGTTTATTTGTGTGTGCTTACCCTGGTGCCGGTAGACTGTGGGTGGAGACAGAGACCGGAAAGGAGCGAGCGTCAGATGGACCGGGGTCCCAGGCCCATCTGCCTTCTCCTGGAGACCCCACCCCTCAGCCTGGGTGACTGAGAAGGGGAGTGTGTAAGTGCCATCAAGGATACACAGGGCATGGGAACAAATAACATGAGGTCACTTTAGCATTGTTAGAAGTCGGCTTTCTGTACTGAGGCTTTTTTTAAAATGTTTTATTGATTTTTGAGAGAGAGAGAGACAGACCACAAGTGGGGAGGGGCAGAGAGAGAGAGGGAGACACAGAATCCGAAGCAGGGTCCAGGCTCTGAGCTGTCGGCACAGAGCCCGACGCGGGACTCGAACCCAGCAGATCATGACCTGAGCCGAAGTCGGACGCTCTACTGACTTGAGCCCCCCAGGCGCCCCTGCGTATGGAAGTTTTCAGTGGAATGTCCTCACATCTTGCAGCTTTTTTGTTGTATTGCATTAATCTCGCTGTCAGAACAAAGATGATTTTTGCCCCGGAGCTGAAGGAATCCAAGCTTACAGTGTTATTAGCTGGTGTGGCTGTGTGTGCTGGGGCACTTGTGAGGGTGGGCACTTCATCAGCCCTACAGATGCCCCATCATAGTCCAGGGGGCCCGGAGTCTCCTGAACTCGGGTGATGCCAGTGTCCCCGAGTATCCCCCAATTCACACACATGCTGTTAATTACTTCCCAGATAGTAGGTGGGAGCAAATACTGTCATAGAGGAGATGGCTCTAAAAAGTTGTTTTGGGGACAGCTGGGTGGCTCAGTCGGTTAAGCATCCACTTCAGCTCAGGTCACGATCTCATGGTTTGTGAGTTTGAGCCCCGCGTAGGGCTCCGCACTGACAGTCAGAACCTGAAGCCTGCTTTGGATTCTGTGTCTCCCTCTCTCTCTCCCCCTCCCCCGCTCACGCTCTGTCTCCCTCTGTTTCTCTCAAAAGTAAATAAACACTTAGAAAACTAAAAAAGAAATGAGAGGAAAGACGTATGCTTTTTGAAAGGTGTATATGCTCCATTGCTTGGGAAATTTTAGGAAAGAGAGGTCGGCTTTAAATATAAAAGCATTCTGCCCAGCAGATATAAAAGAGGCAAATGAAATCTTTGGAGGAATCCACACTGTTATTCTTTTCCCATGGTAAATAATCCCCTGTGGTGGGGGACATTATGAAAATCTTGGACATTCAAACTAGGGCATTTTCTTAGTTGTTTTTTTTTTTTTTTTTTTTTTTTGTTATGCTTTTTTTTTTTTTAGCTATCATCTTCAACTTAAAATCTTCAGTTTTTAAGATACATTATAATTTTGAATAACTGAAAGTCTAGTTTTTAGTGATCTCACTTGTGCTAACTGACCTCCTAGGATTCAACTCAGCATATCCATGGATTAACTACAAGTGTAGCTCTTTCCCCCGCTCTTACGGGTTTGATCTACTGGACGCTCTTTCAGCTCTGTTGTTTACTAGTGTTGCAGATGTTACGACTGTGTCGTCCAGTACAGTCATGCGTCAGGAATTCACGAGCTGCCGTTGCCCTTGATAAGCATGACCAGACAGAGGACTGCACATTCACCTGCTGGTTCGTGTGTTTGTCCCTTCCCAAGCTTGACCGAAGGGAGAGTGCAAACATCCCTAATTAATGTGATTTGTTTCCATTTTTGCAGCCATGCAATGATGGACCTGCTGGTTGAACTTTGCCTTCAGAACCACCTGAATCCATCCCACCATGCCCTGGAGATCCGGTCTTCGGAAACCCAACAGCCTTTGAGTTTTAAGCCAAACACTTTAGTTGGGACCCTGAATGTGCACACTGTGTTTCTCAAAGAGAAAGTTCCCGAAGAGAAGGTTAAGCCTGGCCCACCTAAAGCACCTGAGGTCAGTAGGACAGGCGGACCCTTTGTCACCTGAGGACATATGCAGACACCTGTGGCCCAGGGGTTGAGGAGGGGGCTGGTGGGGCCCCTCTTATCTAAGTAACACCTGCAGACAGCTGTTGTTGGAACGCCTACTAACAACGCTGGACAAAGTGAGGCCCTAACTGGGCTTCTTTTCAAAGATGGAAGTAAACTGAGCTTAATAACATTCACGGTTGTAACTTTGCTCCTTCGGATGTTATAGAAGAGGAATTAGTCTAGACCAGAGCCATCCACTGGAACTTTCTGCACAGATGGGAATGGTCTGTAACCCTGCATGTTCCAAGGAGGCCGCCCCTGGCGCGTGTAGCTAGTTATTAAGCAGGTGCGATGCAACTTGTGTGATTGAGAAACTGAGCTCTTAATTGTATTTAATTATAATTCTTTTACATTGGAATAACCACAAGGATCCAGTGGCTACCATGTTGAATTAGATAGAACCACTCTAGAAAATCCTAGGTCTTTCAGTCCAAGGAAGCTATGGCAATACAGGGAAGATTTGAACTTCTCCTAGACAGAGGAAAAACAGGAGTTTTCCCTTTTGAGAAACTGACGTCCGAAATTTGTACTCAATGCACTTGGGGAATATCTCATACACAGATTTATTTCAGGCTTTTGGTTATTGGTTAAAATGAACTCCAGCTGTTTATGGTACTTCTTAATAAAGCTTTGCTGTGAATCTTTTAACGCCATTGGAAAGCTTTTAGGTGCTTGGAATATCTACTAAATTTTTCTGCTTTTAAACATGGCAGTTTGGCCAGCAGTTCATCTTCTGTACGTTTTTAGGTTTGGGTGATTAATAAATTATAATTGGTGCCATCAACACTCTGGAAAGGGGCATGGGATCCAACTAACTATTCAGCACACACTTAGTGGATCTACTCTTCAGGGCGTTCGGACAATGTCGAGTCAGTAAAGGCCAAGAAAAAGTTGCCTTTATGAACCTTTGGCATATTAAAATTTTTTTGACCGGTCCGTTTATCAGTAGACATTTAGAATCAGGTGTAGTCAAACCGATTGGTTTTTTCCCTGATTATAATGGCTCTCATTATATGTTTATTACATGTATATGTCTGTTGTATGCCTCTTATATATTTTCAGCTTAAATATGTGTATGTAGTATATGTACACAAAAATATGTATATACACAGACATGTATACATACCGTATACAGTTATAGAGATATTAATATATTTATGTGGGTCTTTGGCTATTTGAACAAAAATTTGATATCTTGGGGTTTTTTTTAGGATTTTTCTTGAAATTGAATTATTCGTGATACTTTCAAACGATTTTCATGTAGACAATATGTGCAGGTGCCTTGTGTTCAGGTCTGTTGGGATTCTTGAAAGATGGTAGTTAGGTGTAGGTGTTAAATTACAAATCAGGATCCCTCCCGATGTCCATTCCCTTGTGTTGTTAGCAGTTTGTTCCTTAGTGAGCAAGTCTATGGTCAGTGGTTTATTCCAGGTGCATATTGTTCACTACTGAGTCTGCCATTTCCGCCCATGACCCACTCAGTTTCGGGAGAAGGGCTCGGGCTGCCCCAGATCTTGCCGTATTCATTCTAGAACACCAATAGGGATTGGAGCCGTGTGCAAACACGCCCTTATAGAATACTTTCGTCCGGTATGTTCTTCCAGAAATCCGTGCGCTTGGTAGTGAATTACCTGCGAACGCAAAAGGCCGTGGTGCGTGTGAGCCCCGAGGTGCCGCTCCAGAACATTCTCCCGGTCATCTGTGCAAAGTGTGAGGTCAGCCCAGAGCACGTGGTCCTCCTCAGGGACAACATCGCCGGGGAGGAGCTGGAGCTGTCCAAGTCCCTCAACGAGCTGGGGATCAAGGAACTCTACGCGTGGGACAATAAACGAGGTGAGGCCGCCCTGCGTCTTTGATGCCCGCTGGGGGAGAGCCCGGGCGGGAATCACCGTGCCTGGATTTTCAGGCCACTCAAGCTTCGTCCAGAGTTGAAGTGGGCAGAAAGTAAATTTGGTCTGTTCCTGTTCCCCTCGATTGTAATGATGCATCCCCCCCCATCCTGAGCCTGTCCTGCTCATTCCTTGTCTCCCTCGAGCTTCCTTGACGTGAATAAAAACAGGCCCTGGACCGGAACTACTCACAAAGCCTGCATGAACCAGTGTCTCTCGGATTTCTTTTTCAGTACCTGCCCGAAGTCTCAAACATTGCTCATTGTCAGAACCAGCTGACAATTCAGCTTTTTCTGAAACTGCCCGAATGAATTATAGTTCAGGAGATCAGTCCTCGAGAACCACCCACAAAGCCACGTGGGGCTTCCTCAGCGTTGATGCCAGAGACACCTACTGCTCGTGTGAATTTGGTACTTGACCTGACGGCCCAGAGCCTCTGGGGGAGTGGCCACTCTCGAGACCGCTCGCTGTTGGCACAGAGGCTGATAGGTGTATAAGCAGATTTCCCTGATTGACACAAAGGGCTGACCATATTGAAACAGCTGTCAGACCAAAATAAATCAATGAATGAGCAAGTGAAAAAAAAAAAATACATAGCCCTTGACTTTAGAACTTACTAAAACGAACTTCATATAAGTGCCTTTTAATGAGGCTCATTTGATCTGTTGCCTTGTATTTATTCCACAGATACCGAGTGGGTAGGGTTTTTAAAGTATAAACCATCCTGTTTTTTCGTGTTTTTCTAGCGTCCTTCAGATTCTTCCGGGAAAATCTGTTTCTCTTATTACTGATGTCATTGCAAAATCAGTGATCATCATGGAATCTCTCTCCTCTGCCAAATCTCCCACAGGTTCTGGACCCCAGGTCTCATTTGCCATTTGAGGAAGGGTTTTAGCTCAGTCACATATAAAATGCATAGACTATTTATTCCTGCAAAAAAAAAAAAAGAGAGAGAGAGAGTGCTCTGACATTTGAGAGCAATGCATCTTGTGTTTTATGCCGCATCTCTCAAAAACTCAGACAAGATTATTCCCAGCATCTGCTCCGAGGGTTGGATATAGTGGGCGTGTCTGTCAGGCTCTTATCAGCCCTGTTTAAATTTGGTTTCTGTGCCTCTTTGGAAATACAGCTTTCATTTGGTAAGACAAGAAAAAAAGGAGAAAAGGAAAGAAAAGAAAGAAAAACTGTCCCCACAAATATGTGAAAGCAAAAAGCTTGCACAAACACGCGTTTCTCTTCTAGGTCAGTCATCAGCTCTATCTGATGGGACCCCAGCAGCGTCCCCAGAAAATAAAGGAGTAACAGCCGGCACGGGCATGGTGGGTGACCGGCCCCTGCCCGGGACACGGTGTCTCTTTCATCTGGACCGTATGGTGCCATGTGCTATGCCGGCTGTGCAGTATTTGATTATCATCCCGCCAAACGCCTTTATCCCTACTGGCAGTCAAGTATTTGGGAAGAAGGGAGAACATTCCGGAAGATGTCTGCGGGGAGCCCTCTCTCTAGGCCCCTCTTGCATTACATCCCCTCCCCAGCCAGCAGCTGCTCCAGAGCGGGCAGGGCCAAGGCCGGAGGCGGGGCCAAGGCCAGAGGCGGGGCTAAGGCCAGAGGCGGGGCCAAGGCCGGAGGCGGGGCCTTGCTAGGCAGAGGCCCAACTCTTCTGGAATTCCCGGGGTTGGCAGCCTGGAGAAGCAGAAGGCTTTGCTGCCACCTGCTTCCATGGGAGCTCTTAGCAGCCCGGCAGCTGCGGGCTGGAGGAGATCAGGGGCTGGGGACTTGGCCCCTCTCCTGCAGGGGCGCAAACAGCACCCCCCTTCCCTCCCCCGCCCGGGGCCTGCAGGGGGCGGGGGCCGAGGCTGTACTCAGGGGCTGGTGCAGACTAGCGAGGCTTGCCCTCACTTTCTCCTTGCCTGCTTTTTCCAGTTCTTCTGACCAAAACTCAGTCGGAGCCTTCCCTGAGCTGTCAAGGTACAGTGAACCTGCAGGCCTGCTCCCACCCCAGCTGGACTTTGCATGGCTCTGGGCTAGGACGATGCATGCAAGTGCACTGGCGTAGAGGAGCTGAGGGAACGCAGGCTTGCCGCGCCGGGCCTCCGGGGGCACGTCTGTCAGCTGCTACGCGGCTTCGGTTTGGCGTCTTGACACCCTGGTTGCCTAAGAGAAGAATGTCCCTTGTGTGGGGGTTCGCTCTGTGGGTCCACCCGCTACGCAGTGAAGGAGGCCGTTGCAGAAGATGGGTCCTTCTGGAATACACAGTTTCAGGGCAGAGCAGAAGTAGCACTTGCAGAAGATGCCCCATTTTCCTTTTCACCCGTGCCCACCGGTGCCCACGAGGTCCATCCTGTCTGCTGCAGAATTTGGGGCAGTGTAGATCGTGAAGTCTAATCTTTTCTGTCGTAGAAGCGTATATACACGATCATTCTGGCTTTTGGATTTCTTCTGACATTTATCGTAAACCTTATGTATGCTCACATACACCTATATTTACACGTACATGCACACGTATACATGGATACATATAGTCACATTGGAATTTTATTTAAATGTTTTTATTTACCTATTTTTGAGAGAGAGAACACAAGCAGAGCAGGGGCAGAGAGAGGGTGAGACACAGAATCGGAAGCAGGCTCCAGGCCCTGAGCTGCCAGCACAGAGTCCAACGCGGACTGGAACCCATAAACCACAAGATCATGACCTGAGCCGAAGTCGGATGCTTAACCGACTGGGCCACCCAGGCACCCCTGTATATTGGAATTTATGTGACCTCTTTGAACTCTCCACACACACACACACACACACACACACACACACACCCAAGTTCATTCAAGTCCCGGTGAGTGTTTGTCTTTTATGTACAAAAGTTTAATGAAACAGATCTTGGTGTTGGTCTGGAAACACAGCCCGTGGGTGTGGGCTCTAACACTGCGGTGGCCCAGGCCACCCTGCACACTCCTTGTCTGCTGAGGTTTACTCTGTCCTACCGTGCAGACAAGTCTGGCGGACAGAAGGATCCGCCCCCGAGAAGCACGGTGAATGGCCGTTGTTTGGGGCAGGAACCTCCTGTCTGTGAAGGCTTCCTCAGTTCACCCGGGTCTGATCTGGGGCAATAGGCAGACGGAGGTCAGCACGGCTCCGATCGGCGCTGTGCACACAGGCTCGTGACGGGCCGCGCATCTGCAGGATGCAGGCCTACGTCTCCTCTCGTGCTTGCTCGCTCGCTCGCGCCTGTGCCCTGGCCGCTGAACGGCCCTGACCTTCCATTTTCCTCGTCCGGAAGAGTGAGTGGTTTGGATGAGCTGGTTATTTCAGGGCCCCTGCAGCCCCATTCCATCCCTCCGCGCCGCTCCGTTCATCTCTGTTGTTCTCCGAATCCCGTTAATGTTTCGGCGCGGTTGTGTGCACGCTTACAGATTGAGCACGTCCTCCTCGAAACTTTGATTCGTGTTTAACTTCTAGTAAATCAGCGTAAACCGGACGAAAACAGGTTCCGGGCTCAAATTGTGTGTTTGGAACCAGGGAGTGTATGTGTTCTCCCAGCCGGGCTGTGTGTCCGTGGCCAGGTGCTGGCTGTGACATGTGGCGGCCACCTGCCGACACTTGGGCTGACGGGAACACGGAGGGACACCCAGTGCTCTGGCTCCCTCCTGCATTGTTGCCAGGGCCCAGAGGCCTCACAGAAGGCGCCTCTCAGTACAGAGTCGCCAATCCCTCGCCCCCCACCTAAGACCATCCGCCTGGGGGCCCTGCTGCCTCCAGACAGCCACCGCCTGCGGCCACACAAGAGTGTGCCTCTCGGATCACCGCGGGCAGCTCTGGCGGCTGGGCCGCCCCTCGGCCATCCAGTCTTGCGGACTTGGTGACCAACCTCTACTGCTATTCAGGGAAAGAAAAAAGAGGCTTGATTGCGCGACAGTTTCCTGATCAGTCTGTCATTTCCGTGGTTGGTGTAATACCCGGTGTGCCAGTGACACGTTCCCTCGTTCGCCTGCCGAGTTCTATGATACCACACATTTACTACCTCGGCCTCACGTGGCCCTCAATGCTAGACACACGATCGATTATAAATACACCTGTCGACGCCTACTGTTGTTCACCTGGGTGTAGTTTTACCACAGCTCAACCTTTGTAGCTCGGTGCCTGGCGCGGCGGGTTTCAGTGCGATCAGCCGTGAAATCTGTGCACACGCGCGTGTGTGTGTGTGCGTGTGTGTGTGTGTGTGGATGCATGCCTCGCGATGGGAGTCGCTCGCTCACTGATCTGGATCGGAGGGCACCTGTGGCTTGGCTGGAGTCGCCTGCACGTAACCGAGGGCCTGGGCCTCGGCACTAAACCCTGGGCCTTTGCCGCTCCCAGAAGAATTTAAGGAATGAGGGTGCTTGGGTTTTACTTTGCTGGGGAGGCAGCATTAGCGTTCATGCGTTTGCTACTAACGTACCGGCTCTCATGTGTGTGCTCTCATCGGAGGATGAAATTTTAGGCCAGCAGATAAAGAAGCTCCCTGCTGTTTACCTTGTTTGGGTTGATGTTCTGAGAGCAGACTATGTGATCCCAGTCCAGATTTTCCTACCCGTGGATTGGCGGTCAGGCTGTCTAGCAGCTGGCAGTGGGCCAGGAAGTTCATGTTTCTGTCCCTCAGGAACACCCCAATGTCCCCCCCTCTTGGCATCTCTGGGTGCCTTGGAAGAGAAGAACCGGATGAGTTCATGACAGAGGCCTGGCGTCAGGTGGCAAAGCGGTGTGCCCTCGGCGCTCCTGACCCCCGTTCTGCTGGTTCTCAACCACAGCCCGGCAGCAGAAGCACCGGGGGTTAGCGGGGAGTGAATGCGGGGCGCTGGGCCCCACCCCAGAGGCAGGGGTCTGGAACTGGCCCAAGTCCTCAGTGACGCCATGATGCCGTCAGCTGCCCGACAAGTCTGGGCTTCGACGTCCCTGTCTGGGGGCTCCTGGAGAATGTCATCGGGAAGGAAGACCTTCGGGTTGAGGTCGTAGAAAGCAGATCTGGAAACACGAATCCTGGCAGGTCACATAGGGTTATGTCAGCTACCACCTGGGTAAACCATCGCGGCCAGTCCATGTTCTGGAAACGAGTGGCCTTTTTAAAGCCAGAAAGCTATTGATTTATTTTATTTAGTGAGTGTTTGTACCTCACTTATAATTCCAAAAGAGGATGTTTAACACAGATGGCCCCGTCCTAGTCACCAGTCACGTGTGGCCCTTAGGCACGTGGAGTGTGGCCAGTCTGAGCTGAGATGTGTGCTGTGACCCGCACACTCAGCACCAAAATGAATTAAAAAAAATTTGTTTATGTATGTTTATTCTTGAGCAAGAGACAGAGTGTGAGCAGGAGAGGGGAGAGAGAGAGAGAGAGAGACAGAATCTGAGGCAGGCTCCAGGCTCTGAGCTGTCAGCACAGAGCCCAACATGGGGCTTGAACCCACAAACCGTGAGATCATGATCTGAGCCAAAGTTGGGCACTTAACCAACTTAGTCACCCACATGCCCCACCACCAAAATGAATTTAAAACTTCTCATTAATGGGGACCCTGGGTGTCTCAGTGGGTTAACAGTCTGACTTTGGCTCAGGTCATGATCTCACGGTTCCTAAGCTCGAGCCCCACATTGGGCTGTCAGCTCAGAGCCCTCTTCAGATCCTGTGGCCCCCTCTCTCTCTGCCCCTACCCTGCCCTCTCTTTCTCTCAAAAAACAATTTCATTAATAATTTCTCTCTCAATTATCTAATGGCATGATAATATTTTAGAAATATTAGATTACACAAATACATTATTAACATCACACCTGGTTGCTTTTGACGCAGCCTCTAGAGAATGTAAAACAGCGTGTGTGATTTACTTCATTTTTCTAGTGGACGGTTCCACCCTAGAACTGCTTGATTGATTTGTTTTTATCATTCATACACAGGGTTCAATCCCACCCAGAGGAAAATGCCACCCAACTCACTGAAAATTGTGAGAACCTTTAGTGATTTCATAAATGGGACTTGGAGGCTTTGAGGTGGCTTGAAATGCTTTTTTTTATTAAAAATTTGTTTCCATTTATTTATTTTTGTGAGACTGAGCACAAGCAGGGGAGGGGCGGAGAGAGAGAGGGAGACACAGAATCCGAAGCAGGCTGCAGGCTCTGAGCTGTCAGCACAGAGCCCAACGTGGGGCTTGAACCCATGAACCGTGAGATCATGACCTGAGCCGAAGTCAGACAATTAACTGACTGAGCCACCGAGACACCCCTCAAAATGCTTTGAAAGAAATAGCTGCTGGTTTGTCCTATAAAAACCAAAATAAAGTTTAAGGGTGGAGGACTCATTTATCGAGATGTTTAAAGTGTGGTGTTTAATCACATTCCATAGACTGATAATAACGATACTTTTCTTTTCTCCGCAGAAACCTTTAGAAAATCATCGCTTGGCAACGATGAGACAGATAAAGAGAAGAAAAAATTTCTGGGATTTTTCAAAGTTAATAAAAGAAGCAGTAGTAAGGTAATGGGCTGAATACACGTATGATTCTGCATTACGTAAAAATAGTTGCGTGGGATGTTTGTACTCACCCTATCTTGGAATTTTTCTAAATATTTGTAGGAATATTAATTTCTTCAGGTGAAAGGGAACTTATTCATATGCAGGAAAGTGACTGACATACATCCAGACTTGATTCCTAAAGCAGGGTGATAATGTTGTGTTCGCCAGTGGGACCCAAAGCCACGAGCCCTGCTCTGCAGGCTCGTGCACGGCACCTGGTGTCAAAAAGGTAATATTTTGCTAATCCCTAGTATTTGCTCCTTCCTAGTAAGTGAGACTAAAAAGACAAAAGCGGTCCGGCCACTGGCGGGCTCTGATTCCATATTTGTACCCGGTTCCAGGCAGAGTGGGAGGGCAGCCTTTTGCTGGTGAGAAACCCCTGTGCCCACTGCCCGGACCTGTGCATCTCATTTCCCCGGTTCAGGAGGCCGAGGGAGGGGACGGTTCAGACCGCTTTGCTGATGAGGATGGGAAGCAGGAAATAACGGTGCTCGGGGTCTGGGCTTAGATCCGGGCTGCACAGCCCACAGCACCCCCGGCCCGCGGTGGTTTCTGGTTCAGAGGAGGGAGGGGCAGAGAGCTCCAGGGTGAAAGCCAAGGTCAAGTGTGGCTCAGGAGCTTGGCCTCCCGCAGGTGTCTGTTGCCTTTGGCAGTGACCCACACGCACCGGCTCATTTTCCTCCTCGTGTGTCCTGATGCTTTGATTTTGGTTTTGTGAGTCTCTTTTTTGTTACTGGTTACATGCCCTTTCCCTGATGTTGCCAGGTGTCCTTTGAAAATCAGTGTTCGTGGTACTTCTCTCAAGATCCTTGATGCTTTCCTTCTCTCTATCCCGTATTCCCTCCCAGCCCCTCCTCCCCCTTCCCCCTTCTCCTTTCTCTCCTCTCCCCCTTCCTCATCCCCTCTTCCTTTCTCTCTCCTCCCCC